TCACCTCTCAACGTGAAAGCTATCATATTACTGCCACTGTGCCAAACTGAATCCCTGTAGCAAAAGTACCATTTTCTAAGAAACTGAAGATGAAAAATAATAGTTTGGATATGAAAAAAAAAAATCAGAAACACCGGATAGGACTTCAAATTATTTAAGAAAGAAAAAAACCCACCTAGACAAACTCACATTCTCTTTAGTGTATATGTGGAATACTTAGCTATTTGTGGCATAAGAATATTTGAAAGAGAGCTGCATATTTCATTGAGAAATCTGTGAATGCTATGTGTTCACCCCAAACTTTTCAAAGTAGCCGAAGTTCAGAGTTCTTTGTCACCCACACTCTTTCTCTGTCTGTCTATAGATTGTATGATCTTTCTTTTCTTTGAATATCCTTGTAATTCTTGGATCTAGAGTGTGTTCCTTTATGGATGAAATACAAATTTATAAAACCGATAAATTAGGGGGTTGTTTGATTTACAAAAGGTTCTTAACTTATGAAAAAATTCACTCTGGGATACTTTAGGTATACTGCAAATACCTCGGGACCTTCCCTAAGTGGTGTGGTTCCTGGACTGCAGCCCTGCATCACTGGAAACTTGTCAGGAACACAGGTTCCTCGCCCCCCTCCCCCCAGATCGAGAGTATCAAAATCTGCCTTTATACAAATTGCCACGTGGTTTGTATGAACATTAAGGTTGAGCAGCATTTTTCTAGCCTATTGTCAGACACAAATAACATTTTATAAAAACCCTGCTTACATCTATTTCTAAGAGTACCCCTCACACGTCAAATGAAAGATAGCCCTTTAAGTTGACAGTGAAAACACAGAAGGGATAAAATCACTAACTTCTTACATACTCAGTTCCCCACAAAACATCTAGAACTACAAAATTTAAATGCTAGATTAAAACAAAAAATGTATTCTAGTAACCAGGATGATAAACAAAACATTTACTCTGTGGTCCTGAGGAATGCCCAAGTTAAAATGCAAAGCCATGCTGTCTGTCCCTTAAAACACTTGTGAAAGAGCAGGCTAGCACATTTTGTTTTGGTTTGGTTTTTTATTTGTTTTGTTTAGGAAGTACTCTTGGAAAATAGCTACATTTAGCTGTTCTTCTGCAAAATTACCTCCATTAGGCATTGATAGCACTAAATGACTATCAGCTGTGGCAGCTACAGGTCGGCCATTCTGGGTCCCTGGGGCTTCTGTGGCATGATAAGGCGGGGGTGGTGTGTCAACTAAAAGAAAGCAGTAAAACAAAGGAATGTCAAACTGATAAGCTACACAAAGACACCCTGATCCAACCTTTTTGGCCGTTAAACTCCTGGGCTTGGTGGACAGTGCTTTTTGCTAGAGAGACCAGTAACATAATAAGGGTATTATGAAGTGACATTGTGAGTGTCCTATAGGAAAAGGGGGTTGTCCTAAGCTCCTCCCTAAAGGGTTGATTAGTTTTCCCTCTAACTTATGAATTATTATGGAGTTCAAATGGCTTCATGGTAAGATTTTCAAATCTAGGAGCTGTTCTCCTAGCTTTTCTCAAGAGCAGAAGAGTCTGTTATCTGGCTTTCAAAACAAATGAGCTAAATGAGCTAAATATTCAGTTCCTCAGTTGCCATGGATTGTACTGTACAATGGCCACAGAGATGTTCTGTCTCAGGTAGTTCAAAATGGCCCCCCAAATACAGAACAGCTGAAACCTGATTATAACCTTGAGCCCAAGGCACACTGAGAAGGGCTCTTCTCCCCAGATATCAGTTGTATGATTAGACAGTGATCATGGTTAGGAAAATGGCATGCATTCAAGTAGCTCATATCTTATCAGAAATGAATTCATAACACAATAAAAACTCCTGAGGCAGAAGGAAAGCTCTTTAGTGAGAACCTCAGTATAACTGATTCCTTCCGTATATATTTCTAATGTTAATAGTGGAGTTCAACACCATAAAAGCTTGAATCAGTCTGCCTTTATTGACTTGTCCATTCAAGTAGTTCCCACACTCAAGTGTGCATAAAAATCGCCAGTGGAGCTTGTTAAAAATGCAGATTCCTGGCCTCACCCGCAGAAATTCTGAGTTCATCAATCAGGGGTTGGACGTAGCCAGGTATGTTTTAATAGGCACTTAGGAGGTCCGCCAACCACACCGCATAAGCATGGAGAAGGCATTTCCATATGAGAAAATGAACTATAACCCTGGTGAAAAAGATATAAAAAGCAAGGTGACCCTTTTGCAGGTCCTGGAGTAAATCTACCTATAAAATAAAGGGGCTGGACATGGAGAGTTACCGCATGACCCAGCAGTTGCACGCCTAGGCATCTTCCCAAAGGAATTAGAAGCAGGGGCTCAGATACTTGCACATCCATGTCATAGCATCATTATTCACAGAAACCAAAAGATGGAAACATCCCAAATATCGATAAATCAATAAATTGATTTTTTTTAAATGGGGTCTATCCATATAATGGAATATTGTTCAGTCACAGAAATGAAGTAACTGATAGGTGTTCCAACATGGACGAACTGGGAAACACTGTGCTTAGTTAACCAAGCCAGACACAAAAGCACAAATATGGTATGATTCCATTTACATGAGGTGCCTTAGACTAGGCAGATTCAGAGACAGAAAGTGGATTAGAGGTACCAGGAGCTGGAAGGAGGCAGGGAATGGGGAATTATTGCTTAATGGGTAGAGTCTCTGAGGTGATGAAAAAAATTTGGAACTAGATAGTGGTGATGGTTACATAACATTGCGAATGTACTTAATGGATGGTACACTTAAAAATGATTAACATGGCCAATTTTATGTGATATATATTTTACCACAACTTTAAAAATATAATACCATACATGAAAAACCATTGAACTGCACTTTAAGTGGACGAATTATATGACATGTGGATTATATTTCAATAAAGTTGTTAAAAAAGTTTAAGAAGCTGAACCAGTTAACGTCAAAAGTTCCTTCGAGTCTTTTTTATCCATAGATCTGTTATTCAGGTTGGAATTTTGCTTTAACCATTCAGAGAAGAATTATTTTCTTTGAAATTAAAAGGGCTGTTCCCACTGTGAGACACTAATCAGCTTCTGTGTAGCACTGGGATCTGTCCTTCTTGTGTGGGAAGAGAGAAAAAAGCCATCAACCTGTTAGTTTAACCAGTGCAGAAACACAAAGTCAGTACAGGAAATCTTTATAGCAAAAATGTGTTTTAAGTAAATATAGAAGGTGCCAAAAAATGTATACACATTTTAAGAAAGAAAAAAACTGAATTAAAATTGTAATACTCAATATATACTGATAACAAAAAATGAATACAAGTCATGTTTGACTTCTGCAATTACAAGAGGTCCTCAAAGTGGTTACCATCAGCATAATTTTAATACAGTTTTTTCCTTTCTTAAAATGTGTATTCATTTTTCTGGCACCCTCTACATATATTATGTGATACAACTATCCTCTTGTCCCTTAACTAGGGCTCTGTCCTCAAATGGATCCTCTGTCTGTTGTGTCCCTTTCTCAGGGACTTCAGCCACTTGTAAGAATTCGACCACCTCCTCCGCTATGTGTGAACGACCCCTGGACCACATCTCAGCTTTCATCCCCACAGAAAGTCCTGGTATTCTTCCTCCTCAAATTCAATGCCTTCTTTCCATCCCTTACATCCCTTCTTGCGTTCAAGTCCTTATAATTAATAGCCGGGACTGCAGTGGCCTTTATCACACTCTGTTAATTATGAGTGTTCTCAATAGTCATCACCTCTGGAAGGTCAGAGACCATTGTTGGAATCAATCATCACTGTACCTCTAACACCAGCACAGCGCCTGACACTTAGCAGGTGCTCAGTCATTAGTTACTGACTCAATAAAACCTGTATTTATGACTCTGAGCTCTGCTCTCAGGTTCCAAATGCCTGTGTAATCAACCAATGAGCAGCTTCTGCATTTTGGACTCTGTGCTAGACATACAAGAGAAGACAACTGACAGCTGGAGAAAACAGACACAAGCAATTATATAATAGCATGAAAATTTAACAGTAGCTGTATATGTAAAATAGTAGGTGCACTGCTGAGGGGGCAAAAGGAAAAACTGAATTAGCTTGAAAAGAAAGAGGCAACTTCTTTGTCTTCTCACATTTTATGAGCTAAGGACAGGGACAATTTATATTACTCTTTTAGTTTTCCTTTCAACACCCTAAGGCAATGCTTGCATATAGTGAGAGTTCAATGAATATCTGTTAAATAAGTGACTATATGAAGAAATGAATGGGGTAAATCACCAAATGCATGTCTGCATGCCTTCAGGAACTTGTTTGCTCAGGATATTATTTACCTCACCCTCATGAGGTACACGGAATCTGTTTTTCATTAACTAACTTATATAAATGTGGTGTTCCATGCATTTATCACAGTGTGTTTGGTTCGCCCTCTGCATTCCACAGACTTTTTCAGTTCAGCAAGTATGGACTGACTGGGTCTACCCTCAAGATGCTGTGCTGGCTTCCCACAGTGAAAACAGAGCGCACGGATGGACCTGGGGCCTCCTTCTGCCCCACGGACATGCACACATCTTTGGTTGGTAGGGGCTCCCTTTGTTTGTTGAAAGAGGCAGCCAAAGAAAAGGACTAGCACTGATCCTTCGCACTGCTTGTCCTGCTAGGCTTAGAGAAATCTTTTATATGTTATTATTGCACTGCCTTTTTAAAAAACATCCCTGGAAATTCCCAAGATGGATGCTGCTCAAATCCATTTTGTTTCTGAGAGCTTCCAGAGGATGAGAACCAGAAACCAGAGCAAAGGCACGGAGCTCTAGAGCAATGGTCCCAGAGTGGGGGCAGCCCTGATCATCCCAGAGGCTGGGCAGGGTCCCAGGGCCCGCAGGAGCTTGCCGTGAGAACTTTAAAGTGCTGTATGGACATGAGGTTCAGTGATTATAATCACGATAGTTACACCATAGATAACTGTGCTGTGTTCCCTGTGGACCTGCAGCTTGCACTGACCTGAGTGCTGATACGGGCTCTCTGGCTCGGAAGGGCTTCCTGGGGAGTGAGGGTAGCTGGCCGAGCACGGGGACTGCGAGAACACTTGCCCCGGTGAGGGAGGGAATGCAGAGCACGGAGGCTGCTGGAATGAGTCGGGGTAGGTGGCGTTGTGCGGCATAAGAGGCTCACTGTGGAGGGAAGCACTGCGGAACTTGGCCAGAAGGCTGAGCTGGGGGTTATATTCGCTGTGTCTTGGCACCAGGACAGGCGGCAGCACTAGGATAAGAAAGGGAAGAGCATGTTAGAAGTGAACGTTGGCTCGTCGGCACATAACAGAGTGGAAACTTGCTGGTTTTGTCTGTCCGTTTTCAATGATAAAACTCCCTTTTTCCTTTGGGACATACCACTCCACCATTCTTTCTGTTCATCGTGAAATGGTCAATTAACAGCTTACTAACTCTTCCCAAAAAGTGAGCTTGTGAATCAAGCTAAACCAATGGTCCTTGCAGCCTGAATCTTAAGCAGAATTAACAAAAAGCTTAAAGGAGAATCATTCTGATGTCAGCATGAGAAACTGCCTATTCATTCCTAACAAAGAGATTACCAGAGCCGCCCTATACCTGGTCCTTTTGAAGACCTAATTGTTCACATCTCCTTTTGATTCTGCCAATAAGGTGTTCAGTTGTTGTTGTCGTTTTTTTTGTGACAAAATACGTTTCTACTGCTTACAATAAAACCAAGTGATGCTCAAAATATTTTTCCTTCAGAGACCATGATGAATTATTTAGATGACCAAAGTAAGTTTTAGGCTCAGCCGTGTTGCTAAAGTAAAAACTATCTACCTGTGTTTCCAGAAAGATTTAAAGGCAACTAAAAGTTATTAAGTAACAGATAAACAGTGAGTAATAATAAAAGTGAATAAGTAAAAGGCAAGCAGCCATAGAGGACTTATACATAAAGCCTGTTTATTTTATTATGTTCCTTCTGGGTTCCACAATTTAAAAAGAACATGAGTTTTCTCGATCCTAATTCTATATAAAAACTTAGGAATGGATGCAATTCTCAAGGTCAAGCATTGTCCGGACATTCATAGGTTCTATTGACTTCTAATGTGTCGCAATGCCTGGCAGAAAGAAGGTATTCCATAAGTGTTGTTGAGGTGCAACCTATGACCAATGTAAGTGCAGGCAGAGATGCAAAGAAAACAGGAGAGGAAGTGACCAAAGAAACAGCTGAAGAATATTTCCCAGAACTATAGGAAAATCTATGTCATTAAATTGAATAGAGCCAGAGTGCACAGTCCAATTAATGAAAGAAGTTCCAAACCTAGTCATACCTCTTGAATTTCAAACATCAGGACAAGTGGAATACTCTAAAGGTTCCCAGCGGAACACCTCAAAGTCACCTACAAAGAAATGAGAATCGAACAGACTCACGAGTTTCCATCACCAATGCTGGATACTAGAATGCAATGGACCAGTGCTCTTCTAAGGGAAAACAATTCTTATCTCCAAAACCCACAATGGAGACCAATAGAATTGCCAAAAAATAATAGAAACTATAAACCAAAATATATATTAAGGTTTGAGAAGAAGAAGAAAGCAATATAAATTAGCTAAATCCTCATCTTTCATGTTATAGAATCAATGAAACTGTCTATAGGTGATAAATTTGGAAACACATGTATAAGCATATTATCTAGAGTTACCTCCATGGTTTTTAGTAATAATAAAGGGAACTCGGAAAAGAACAAAGCAAGAACGATTAAAAGACGTTGTTCCTACAGATAGATAGGATAGCTCTTGTTTTCGATCCATTATGGATTTCTTACCACATGCAAATACTGATAAAAAATTTCATAAAAAGTTGTGACTTTAAACAAAACCACAAGTGAGAGTAGCAGAGAAACAAATGATTTTCCCCCCTTTAAAAGTCAGTGTTCGTATGTACTACCTATGACATTAGAGAATAAACACTCAACATTGCCCTGCAAAAATTACCTGGACAATAATAAGCCTCTGAATTTCCTTTTATGTATCCTATGAATATGTAGGAATGAAAACATGAGTTGCCTCCGAAATAGCCTGAAAGTGAGGGGCTCACAGTAAATGACATATGGCTTCTTTTCAGTGATGCGTCTTCATCACAATGTTAACAAAGCTCAAATAAACACTCATTTTCCTTTTTTGGATGAACAGGAATTTGAATAATCTCTGTGACTTCAGTTTTAATGTGAGATATCTACAGTGTATTCCTACCATTGATAAACACAATGCTGCACACCCTCCTGAACGCAGGCTTCTATTTATTTTGCATTCTGCAGAACTGAGGCACCAAAGAAGAGAAAGAATATGTTTTTCTTTATTGAGACAAAGATCTTGATAACATATTTTTACCATCTGGGNTCAGAGATTACCTACAAACCTGTGAGAGGACAGTTTCCATTCACCAGTCTCCTAGTGAGCATCTTGTTACAAGGTTGCTAACCTCTGCCCACAATGCCAAAGAAGGATGACAGACATGCATCTTTTAATAGGGGCTCCATTCAAGATGGACATGGTGAGCTATCAGGGCATCTATGGACCTCTGAATTATCTGCTTATTTTGGGTGATTGTGCATACATGGATTTTTCTAGCGAGATAGTCCATAGGTATTTTTCTTCAAATTCTTAAAAGAACCTGTTACCTCCAAAAGGTAAAACAAAAACAAAAACAAAAAACACTGAATTAGAAAAAAGAGGAAAAGGAGAAGGTAAAAGAGAGGAAAACAACAAGCTGAAAAAACTAAAAAGAATAATGACTATTAAAACTGACTAAATTGGTTATTGGAGGAGGGCCTTGAAAAAAAAACAAAAAACTAGAGTCAGTGGATTCTGGTAAGATGACAGAGAATAAAGCACCAGAAATCTGTCTCCTCACCTAGAAAACAAAAGAAGACAGTAATGCAGGAAATGAGGACCAAAAGCTATCAGGTACATATAAAACAAACAGCAAACTGGCAGAAGGAAGTTCCTCTTTATCATTATTTTAAATCTAAATGGATTAAAATCTCCAACTAAAAGAGATTGGCAGAATGAATAAAAGCACATGATCAACTCTACTTTGTCAAAAAGAGACTCACTTTAGAGCCAAAGACACAAATAGACTGAAAATGGAAGTATGGAAAAGTTCTTCTATGCAAACAGCAACCAAAAGAGAGCAGAGTGATTATACTAATATCAGACAAAATAGACTTTTAAAAAAAAGGCTAAAAGAGATGAAGCACATTATATATTAATAAAAGCTTCAATACAGAAAGAGGACATAACAATTATAAACATTTATGCACTTAATTTCAGACTGGCAAATATATATGAAGCAAAACTGACAGAATTGAGGGCCAGCCAAGTGGCGCACTGGTTAAGAGCTGACTTGGNACTGATCTGCCTTGTCCGGGAAGAGCGCAATGATGGTGCCAACTTAACCAGTGAAGCAACGTCCTCTACAATTAGACTGAAGAACAAAAGGACAGCAACTTGTCTGTTTCCCTTCCCCCAATTCCCCAATAAAAATCTTTAAAAAAAAAAAAAAGAATTGCTTTTGTAGAAGTTACACAAAGTCACATACGTAAGCATGTGCACAGAAAGTATTGCTGTCACATTTGTTATTCTGCCTGAAAATCAACTGAATTCTTCTTTGCTCTCTCATCCCAAAGAGACACTCTTTCCCAGTTATTCAACAATCCCATTTAAATTTCCTAAGATAGAACTGCACTTCCTCTTCTGTGAAATAGCTGGCTTAAACAAAACCCCCTCCTTCCAGATTTTAGAAACCAGCTATCTTATTAATGTTTAAAGTGGCTGTTGATAGTATTTTGGAGCAAGCTGACTCATTTTAGTATCTTGGAATCAACCTAGTTCATAATCTCAAACTACTGCTTGTTTAATATGCATTAAACATAATTTTCTCCTACGCTTCCCAAGAGGCAAAAATTGTACTTTCTGAGTCCGATTATATACACGCCTTTGAACAAAGGCGCTATCTGCACCGCTGCTACTGTGATCATTACCAGGCACCTGATGCCAGAAGGAGGGCAGCTTGGGTACACAAAAATTGATGCCATTTAATACATATAAAGCAACACATCACTTTATCTAGCATTGTATACAGGTAAACTATGGCGAAAAGGAGAGTTGAGGGCTTGATAGCTGTTCTTTTTCACTCGGCAGTTTGACTTACACTCAGTTTTATTTGGAAAGGTTGATGTTGTGGCTTAACAACCCTGAATTAATAAAGTATAGTTAAGTCACTGTGTACAAGTCCTGTTTACTTATTCGAGACAGGCTGCATGAAAGTAATGGTTGCAGAGGGTTGAGAGCCTGAAGGAGGAGAAGTAGCACAACACAGAATCATCTGAATTCCAATAGCGCTTTGAATTCTGCTTAGTTTTACACAGGATTTGTTATTAGTAAATTGTAGCATAAATCTTCAAGCTTAGATCCATGGTAGAAAAGGGCTTTTTATAAAAATGTTCAGCAATGTTAAGCTAAATATAACTTTTAAAAGCTTTGGCTCCATGAGACAAACAACAGTGCTATAAACTAGGGTTTGTTGTTGTTGTTTTATAGCTATTCAAATCAATTTACTGGAAGACAATACTTTTGTAAAAATAACAAAAATATACTATATTGCAGTGTAGCTAACAAGGAAAGAATAAGTATTATTTCATTAAAATTTTTCATTTGAGGTCCAGACGAGTGGTGTGATGGTTAAGAACTGGCTTCAGATGCCAGAGGGCCCCGGTTCGGATCCCACATATGAGGGCCAGTGACACTGCCCTCTACAGCTAAGATGCTGAANTTGTACCAGACCTGAACCACATAGCGTGGCCTGAAGACAGGTAACACTTCACTAATTGTTGGGTACCAGTCTATGAAGGTACAAGTATTGGAATTGAGGATTAATGGTTATAAACTTTAACAAAAATTTGACAGAGTAATTTTATATCTGTTGAAATGAATGACAACAAAAAAATGGGCTTGTATTTTGTAAGTCTTTTTAAAATTTCATTCACCTAGTAAAAGTATCAATTTTTGAAGAACTGGAGATTTAAAAAATAAAGCTGGTCCTTCACAGATTGTTTAAGGACTGAAATAGATAACTCAAGTGGTTATGAGTAAAAAGAAAATCAGAATGCAGCCTCAATGTTCCTAAAATGTGAGGTCAAAAAAATGAGAGATTTCACAGGCAAAGCATAAATTTCACAGTAAATTAGGGACCCAGCAAACTTGCTTAACATTAACATCTTCATTGTTCTCAAAATACAGAGGGTGCCAAAAAAGCGTATACACATTTTTAAGAAAGGAAAACTGTATTAAAATTGTAATACTCAATATATGCCAATAACAAAAGATGAATACAAGTCATGTGCTTATTTTTTTTGGCACCCCCACTATTTACTTTAAAAATGGCCAAAAAAAGTAACATATTAAAATTCCTTTTCTATGAAAAAGTCAAGTTAGGAATTAAAAACCTGTGTGGTTTAAATATTATCTTAAAAATTAATACAATCTTTACCCATTTTTCATTTTAGAAACCCAAACTTAAAATATGATGATATGAAATATATCTGCCATACATAAAAACATTCACACTACCATTCCTAAAAGAATCTTACATAACATAAAAACTAAACTATGAAATAATCCTTTAAAATTATGTTTTCAGGTGTTCAAAGGGAAACCCAGATACATTATACAAGATACTTTTCACAACTATACTACTCAGGAAGAGAGATGTGATTTCTTAATGAACATTTTTTCATTGGGTGTATTTTTTTTTTTTTTAATGTTTACTAGAGCTCAAATCTTTAAAACAAAAAAAAGAATCAGGTCATTTCTGCTATAAACTCAGACACTAAAGACTTTTTTCTTTTCTTTTTTTTTAAGTACGAAAGATTGCCCAGAGAGAAGCAGGAAAGAAGGGAAGAAAGCAAAGACCTACACAATCTGAAGAAAATGCGTCAGATTCACCAGGAGGATGGCACTTTCTCATTACAATTTCACAGGGACTCAATCCCGGAATGAAGTGACTAAGAGGCATTCCCACCCAGGCCTGTGACTTCCTTGACAACAGGTTTACAACATGATGGTTAGACAGGAGCCTGAAAGGTGACCTCGCTAAGCCTGCTGTCATGGGGCGCGAAGCCCAGCTGTAAGGTTAACTGAAGCCTGGAGCCCCGCGGCAGCCTGCACTCCCATCACAGCTTGTCTACTTAGAACCGTCTCAGTGGACATGGCCATTTTCCTGAGCTCACACGGCAGCCCTTAGGTCTCCTAGAATGAAGCCGCTGGCCAACCAGGGAAAGGAAGCTCCTGTAACAATCATTTCCCTACAGCCACAGCAACACGCAATCCAAAGAGAAATGCAGTCAAACTGTTAAACAGCCAGTGTGAAGAAATGAAGATCAATACCCAACTTATCCAAAAAGGGGGTGATGGTGGGGGGAACTGTATGCATGTATGCACATACATACACATCTGGGAATGTGAGGAGTTTAGGACATTACTTTCCTATATTTAAAGCCATATTTAAGAACAACTACCAATCTTCCTCCAACCTCCCTTGTTTTCAGTCCTTGGATGATTTCCAGCAACTCTTTCACTGGCTGTTTTCAGACCCAAAAATGAGATGCCTCCACTTACCTGAGCTTGGGGAAAGTGACAGCCAAGAAACCTTTATTTTAGCTCAGTTCAGTTCAGTTGAGGGAGAGGAGTCGGGGAGGAGGGTGTTGATTATTTACAGTGAATCATATGAAGGCCACATAAGGCCTTCACAGGCTCCAGAACTAGAAAAACACGATGGTGATGATGACTCCAAAACACATCAAAATAAAACTAAATTTTTCAAAAATCACACAGAGCTGACACGTATGCTGAAATGAAAATTCTTTCTAGATTTTTCTGACGATAAAATTTTGGATTAGTTCCTCAACACTGAACCTCCCCTCCCCACCCCTCTCTCTCTGGGGAGGGGTCCTTGTCTTGCTTGTACCCCCCATCACTCTCCATCAACTGGAACACACCTCCTTAACTTTTACAATAAACCATGATATCACGAAGAAAACTCACCTGGCGTCTCTACCCGGCGGTAGTGGTAGGGGTTAATGCACACCTCTTTCTGCTTGGAGCCAAATGGGAACTCACAGCACTCCAGGGGCTTCAACTCATGGTGAGATTGGAGGTCAGGCCAACGCCACACTCGGCAATAAATAACGTGAGGCAAGCCCTTGCGGTGGGACACCTGCAGCCGCCCGTCCAAGGACCGGGGAATTGTAACGCATTTGCTGGGCTGCCCTGGACAACTGAGGGCCCTCTCCAGCTCATCCATGGCTCCTTTCTTCTTCTTGAGCTTCTTCACTAGAGAGTCTACTGCCTTCTCCGCCCACTTTTCCTCTTCATCTCCTTGCTTCCAGCCTAGCAGTCTCTTCACTGCCGGGCTGGTGAAGGAGAAGAGGGAGCTGATGGGGGTGCTGGAGTGCATAAGAGGTGGACAGCAGGCGTCCACGGCACACCGGAACTGGACAGACAGCCCTTCACTGCCGGCAGGGCTTATGGAAAGTAAGCAGCAAGTCACTCTCCAGGGATGTCATAGGTCCTCCTCGGTTTCTGGTGGTAACTGTGACTGACTCGGGTTGGGAAGCGCGCTGACTTTCTCCTAAGCCCTGGAATGGACTGGCCAG